GTTTTTCTCTCTTGCGAAATTCTCAACGCGAAACGTAACCCACGCTTCTTTGCGCCCCCCCTTATCAGCCTTTGCCCCATTGTCTCAGTCGATGTCAAATGTTTTCTGATGCCATAGCAGGTGAGAACCATCATCAATTATAAACTGCCTTCTGCAAGCAAATTGATACGATGGCATTAATATTACAAGGGACCCTGTCTCTAGCAAAACAAGGTCCTGAATTCTAGATTTGAAGTTTTCGTGACTGCAAGGATCCATACTCTTTGGTTCTTTCGGTAAAGTCACGTAGATGAAAAAAAATACAATTGAGTTATTTTCATTTAATTATTTTAGTATTTTTATTTTTTATTTTTCATCTACGTGACTTTACCGAAAGAACCAAAGAGTAAGGTCCTGAATGAAACCTAAACTATAGGTCTTGTAAAGTGGGAGGCGCAGTAAAACAAGCAGGGAGAAATTATTTCCGAAAGAACAAAGCGGGGGGGGGGGGACACCTTGATGATGAGAATGTTCTCGCAGTGAGCCAGACGTGAGAAGGTGGTCTACACACGCGATTGAAGTGTCGGACATGAAGCATACAGAGTGCACTTTGCACGCGCGACAGCCACAGATTATGCCACATTTGGTTTCAGTCATCAGCGTCATCATGATGTTCACCTCCCAGACGGTTATTGTTTTGCAAGCCCATTTGGGAAACTGTAAAAAAAAAAAGCACAGCCCTGATCACCAGCCAACAGGCACAAATAGTCAACGGAGAACAAAAAGGCAATGTGAAAAAAGCCACAACGTGCAGATTCCGTGTTCGGGATATAAATGTAGATTTCTAAATGTATTGTCGCATAACAGCGGACTTGCTCCTCTTCAGCCCATCCGTACCTCTCGTACGCACGTATGTACGGTGAACTTACTTCGCACCGTACGTAGCCAACCCGTGCTAATCCATCGACACGTGTGGCGCATCGCCAGTGTTGCGCGGTGCAAGGCCCCTGCGGAGATGCGTCCGTGCCCGCCTTTAAGAAAGCACGTGCAGCGTTCGCTAACAGAGCAGAACTGTGTCGAGGGGTGCGTTGTAGTAAATGCAACGGCTGTTTTTCAAAAGCAAGGCCCGCGCGAAATAACACATTAAGGTAAAATATAAGGCTTCTGGCATTTCCAAGGTAACAATGAATAGGCTCTAACGGCCATCGAAAGCAGACAATCCTTATCCACCTTCAGCCGCGAGCTCTGTCAAATCCCTCTTCATTGCGGAAGCGATAAGCGCACACTTATCAAGGCACGCGGACTCCGTGCGTAACCGACGGACGTATCCTTGCATTTGCTGGGCGTCTGACCCTCCCATGATGATGATGACCCATAATACAGGTTGATGATGACGTGCATCGTTCTGTATACTGCTCGACAGTGTCGTGGCACCGAGAGAGCCAATTTCGATCCGTAGAGAAAAGTTCGAAGTCAACTTTGTCCGCATCGCGATGCTGCTGCTGCTGCGGTGAATTACAACACGTTGCTTGGCTGTTCAGTGACGGTGAAAAGTACTTGGGGGTCAGTCATGGGGCATTGAAATTACAACATGGCAACAGCAGATGGTGCTGTGGCGCTGTATACAAGCGGCCACCATGAAGGTGGCACGTGGCGATGCCATCCCCATCCCATGCCACACCTATCCTTGCCAAGGCCAGACGGCCCCGTGGTGGCCAAGAGCAAAAGCCGAATTCTCAGGTGCAGGGCCCACACTCAAGCCAGCCACTTTCCTGGCCGTGCCACGTCCCGGCGTGCGGTGGGTGACCTTGTGCCCATTTGTCGAACGTCAATAACGCGATGCGCTTCAAATGGACTCTCGCTGGGCAAGAGGGCTGGCAGCAAATATTTGTCGAGAGGCTCCTGATAAAAGTCTCGTGCGAAGGTCCGTTTGTTGCGGATGAATGATTCACGTGCTTGTGGTCAAACAAACAAACAAACACTGGATCCCCATACGTTATTTTCTGGGAAATGTCAAAACGTTGGTTACGTGCTGTAACGATTGCACTACCGTGGTGGAAATACGTAAACGACGGTGACATTGAAGATCACGTGGCCCCGGTGGCTCAGGTTAGAGCACAGTGCTGGCAAAGCTGACATTCTTGCTTTGAATCTGCACATGCAAGCACAAAAGGCGCAATAACGAGGCGCAGGAGAATATTCATTAAAGCCCTCCGGCTGATGAGCTAAACCATTGTTTTATGTTTTCATTGAGAAGAAAATGAAAGTCTCGAGTGCTCAAATTGCCCTTGATATGATTACCAGCGAGGCAGCCAGGATCCCGACCGTCATACAGTGAATTCAAGAGTAATAATGGCCATGAAAGCCCTTAGCAACCCACCCACAGAGGGCACGCGTCCTGCAGCAGTGTGCTGTGTGTGCTCAGCCTAGCCACACAGTGCGCACACAGGCAAGGCTCATGCCTACGCCAGCCAAACACAAAAGCGTCACAATTGGCATCGGCCTCAGCTTACAGCCAAGCGCCATAATTAATTCATTGGTGAAAACAACTCTTCTGTCAATTTTCTGTGGAAAACAGCCAAATCAGCAGATAATATGGAAAGTTTAGACCGTTTTTCTTCGTCAAACATCTGTGGGAAAAGATTCACCCACCAAGCACGAATTGGGCCCACAATGCAACTGTGTGTGTGTGCGCACTGCTGCACACGCTCTCCGGCGTGTTTTCTGGTTGTGTATCGCATCGCACGTTCTTCTGCGAAACGTCGGACATGACGCCGAACGACGCGCGATAAAACCCTAAAACAACGCGATTCCGATTTTGGTCGCAACCAAAGTGAGGACAGTTTGATAAGCACCCTCTGTACGAGCGCACATGGAAGCCAGACGAACATTAGAATCACCATGAGAAAGATGAGGCCAGCGCTTGCTCTGTCGGCAGGCATCGTAGAGCAGCATGGTACAGAACGACACGAAAGAATCTGCGTGTTCTTGCCAAAAAATGGCAAACATTTATCTCTTGAGTTTAACACGTAGGAGGCTTTCGCGACCAATATCATCCATAAGGGTTTTTTTCGGGTTAAATCGCGTAAATATATAAATATATCATTAAAACCCACCACCACCCGACACAGACAACTAGTAAGGGTTGTCACGTAAACAGAACGTGATGAAGCTAGTTGTAATTACTGACGAAATGTCGTACTCAGATTGTAAATGTTGTGGCTTGGCTCTCCAACACACCGGTGGTGCTGTACCAGTGACGAATTGGCCACGTTCAGTTTACGTGACAAACCTTTCTAGTTGGCTGTGTCGGGCGGTGGTGGGTTTTAACGACACATTTATAGATTTACTCGATCTACCTCCAAAAAACCTCTTATGGATCTCTCTTGAGCTCACCTCTAGCCGAGGCACCTTCTGTTAGCAGTGGTGTGAATGGGCACTTGCAGGCGCTGCACCTTTACCTTGACACATAACGTTTTTTTTCATTTCAAGGAAAATGTATAAAGTGTTATGCCCTGAATGCAATATAAATGGAGATTAGAACGAGCTGTATATGTTTGCATACGTGGAACAGTCAGTCAAGAAAATTGTTTGAGCAATATGTCATCTACATTTATCAACGTGTCAAATTGTCTCCGGGATTAATTGAATATTGGCTGGTGCTCATCTCTCTTGGCTGTCCCGAGCAAGTGGTGGGAATTCAACATTACTATGGCGGGGGACACTCTCTCCATGAGACCCAAAATGTTGACTTCCGAAAAAAGTGGCGCTTACTGGACCAGAATTGACGCATGACCAAATTTTGAACCTTGACCTTATGATTTCGGCCCTTCACAGCGATGCTGTACATCAGAAATCCAATATTCTGCCTTGATGTGGGGGGGACCACATAGTGGACCCTGTTATGTGCGGCACACCGCGGAGATTAGCCGTAAATATTTCATAAACATTTGTAAAATATATTTTTCTCGCCAGTGCGGTGTGCCACGGAGTATACGGGCGGGAATTTGCCGCGTGATTCCATTCATTCGCGGAAATGTTTCGGATTCCCGGAGAACCTCGACACGTGATTGGTGGCGACAATAATCTGCGATAATCTAGCACATCAGCAAGTTACGAGCTTATCTAAGACCCAAAATGACACAAATCTGCCACATGGGTCTATGACGAAAGAATATTGCACCTGTTGTTTGAGACTTGATATCCAAATTTAAACAGCTAAAAAAAATAACTATCTGTGCAACGTCAAACAACAAAGATGTGAATTGCAAAATAAAATGCAAATCTTTCCCTCTCGGTTTACCCCTGCAGCTCTCTCTCTTCAGCTCCACGTCAGCCCTGTCCACTTGGACGAGTTAGAGGGATTCGCGGATTATTGAAAGGCGAATTATTGGATGTCTGCAATATAACCTATACAAAAACATCGTCCTTACAGATACCTGCATTAATGTACTTTAAATACCGTTGTATGAACCTCACAGTATCCATTGCATACAGTTTGCCTCGGCTGAGCAGGGGTGAGGGACATTGCTGCAAACATTTAGTAACCGAGAGGAAAACTGTGAAAATAATAACAATGTGAATGGGATGTGACCTATGCAAACCCTGCCTGAATCTCACTGATACATTTCCATTGGCGTTGAACTAAGGAAGAAGGCAGTGGTGCAGTGGTTAGCGCGACTGTTCTGTGTGTCCAGTGACTGATGTTCAACTCCCAGACACGGCTCGTATCGGTGGCGAGTAATGCCTGAACTAGGTCCTGGCTCCCTCCTTCAACCCTCACTGACCAGTGCGGTGAAGTATGGTTAAACAACGCCAATGACTTATATGGCGTGGGTAAGTCTTCACGCAACGCTGGATTAACATCCAGCGGCAGGTTATATTTAGAATGATAGCCCCCCCCCCCCCCCCCCCCCCCCCCAAGTCCATATGTACAAACCAGTTTCATTTTTCTGACAAAAGTAGCCGAACAAGACTTTGTCTAAATTCCAGCCGGATGCGGACGGGACGTGCTCAGGCGCGCAGGCACGCGCAGTGTCTCTCGTGTTGTATCATGGAACTAAAACGACCGTGAAAAAACTACAACAACCGCAAGCATGTCGTGGGTTTTCGCAGAATGTCATTCTTTTTAAAGAAGCTGTTGGTGGGCAAATCTGTCAATCTGCCGGGGACGTTTGTCAGGCGTGTGACGATGGCACATCCACGCGTGTTTCTTGCCTATTCTGGGATTGCGAGATTATTCTTATACACCATTGGAACCTCATTTGGCAGTAAAAAATATGATAATTGTTTTTTTACCCTTCTATCTGGCAACAAAACATGACTCCTTGTAAAAAAGGTGTCAGTTTTGTTGCCAGATAGAAGGGTAAAAATACAATTATCACGAGATTATTCTTCTTCTCTCGTGATACGTCTCAACTGTTGTTACTGGTAGGAACCTCCTGGTTACACCAGCCCACAGGGGATTATTGTGTCCGTCCGTCCGTCGTGCAGGGAGGGGCTGGGTGGGGGGTGGGAGGGGTGGGGCTGGGTGGGGAGGGGCTGGTCACCCCGTGGTGCCCTTATAAAACTCAACGTTTAACCTACTCACGCCGGCTTGTGCCCGCCCTCACAGTCGGGCATATTTGCGGAATACACCACGTCGCCGTTGACCCTGCAGGCCATTGACCGAGCAACCCAACGTTCCTACCAGCTCCCTCTCTCGGCAGTCATAAGTGCATTATGCATGACGCAATGCTGTTACGAAAACAAGCGCAAGAGTGTCAGAATTATTTTATTCTGAGAAATTCTACGTTTTACTTACGGCTCTTTAACCCCTACTTTCAAATGTACGATTATACCGCCATACACATCGGTTGGCTTTGATTGTTCCGTTGCAGCATCACGAACAACGCTGCACAGTGCCAAGGCCCTCCCTTACAGTGGCGACACAGCGGTTGGAGGAAATTGCATTTCCCTTCTGCGCCGAGGGACACGCAAACGAGTCAACAGAGTGGGCGGCCAGCTGCTGATGGGGCGGGACGACACCCGTCTTTGGCAAATGAGTCCGCCAGATGCATCCGCATACCTGCTTTGCCATGAGCTTCCTCTTTCTCACCTTGCACCTTTGTACCCAAGGTGCGCCACATGGCGCAAGCACGGAGACCCAGAGGCTTCATCGCAAACGGCGAGGACTCTTTGAGTGAAGTAAGAATTTGTTCTACAATTAATTCATGTCGAGTGTACGTCTTACGCGGCCACGCTGGTGCCGAATGTGTAATAATCACGCGTCACTTGACCAGCCTCCGAATTGAATTACAAAACCGCGCGCACAAATGCATTTGTCTTTTGGCAGCTATGTAAGCAGTAGACGTTGCTTTTTCTTCACCGGAAGATACGTTTCACATGAGGTCAGGGTGATTAAAATATATCAATAATGACAATACAGAAATCATAATCAATAACCCTCATAATCAATAACCCTTATTTCAAACCCGACTCGTGGGTGTCAACTCATTGTTAAACACGAGGTCGGGGCCACGTGTTACTTTCTCAAACGACTCGCTTGAAAGATGCACTGGCGGAGTCATGGGGGGGGGGGGGTGGCACGTGCACCCCCAATGATCCGATCGAAATCCCTAATTTCGATCGGATCATTGGGGTTTATAAGTAATAAATCGGCATTTTGCGACCCCCACTGCCACTGTGTAGCATATTATTACGTGCCAGGGACTCTATGAGATGATAGGACGATAGTCTGAGTCCATAATTGGCAATAAGTAACGGCAAAGCGGTTATAAGTGACTCAGAATTGTGCGCAGTTGCGTATACAGTACACGACTTCCCTGAAGGCATTCACGTTCAGCGAGCGCGATGCCGATCACACAACGCGGTTCGAATTCGACCCTCGATCGATGCCTGCGTCATCGCCGCACACGCGTCGAATAAAAAGCAAGGGGACAAGTTATTACTTACTAACAACTCCTTACTTACTAACAACTCCTCTATCATTTTTTATTGCTGGATGGGTTGCCCCCCTACCTGAAAATCCTGGCTCCGCCATTGGAAATATGTACTTCAGCCACGTATAACTACAGATGTCTAAATACCTTTAAGCTATTTTTTTTAAATACGTACAATGCGTATGTGTTATGGATAAAAATTATACAAGTCAACAGCACCGTACCAAGACATTCTTATTGTATAGCGGTAAAGCAATGTGAAATTACGCCCTGCTATTTTTGCCCATGTTGTTTTCCCCCAAAGTACTGTATACAGGGTGTCCCATAAGTCTGGAATCATAGGACATTTTAATACAAAAGGTAACAATAACGCTTGTATTCGCAAAACGTGCGCAAATGACTCCCGCTTTCCTACGAATATAATTATCCGGAGTCGGTCTTCCTTGCTCAGAGACATCTTGGGCCTGCAGAAACAAACATATGAATTTGTTATTTTTCCCCACGATTCCAGAGTCGTGGGCCACGCTGTACATACCACCACGGGGTGAATGGCTTTCCCTGTGTGTGCTCTCTCTGCTTCTGGTAGAACTGGATCGGTCGGTCTAATCTCAGATATTTTATTTGCGTCTCAAAACCAGAAACTCCGGTTCCACGTTCTCTGTTTCGTCTGTCGAGGACAAAAAAAACCGGTGACGGTGAATTCGAATTAAAATCAAGGCATTCTTCTACCCACGGACAACCATCGAACTACCGCACCGTCATCCACTCGATGCGTTTGCCACTTATGTATGTTGAACTTCTTTCGCACCGCACGTAGCCAAACGTGCGTCTGGTCGGATAGCAGCTCACACGCGCTGATGTCAATGCTTGTCACGCATTTCATCATAACCCGAGATTTCACACCGATAGCTGCGTTACAGGCACGTGTTCTAAACTACTCACGTGGATGAATGGAGTTTGTATGTGGAACGCGGCGTGGGATTGTGGTTTGCGGGGGGCGGCTTTATGTTGCATCAATCATTGAAGACGTGGGGGGTGGGGTCCCCCCCCCCCTTGTCGATGTGACTCTAGCCCCAGTGGTCGGCAGTCACAATAACAAGAACCATTTGAAGAGCCGCGATGCGTGTGAATCCGAGACTGCCAGACGGTGGTCCCTTAATACGTGCCAACCCCTGACCTGGGCAGACACTCATTTCTAACAACAACAATACGAATGTATTCACCTTTTTTTCCAAACTCGGTGCACCTCTCCCTAGAGAAATGTTAAGATGTTTTCAGCCAATTGAAATGAGTGTTTATATACACGTGGGAGGAGCCTGTAGCACCCGGAGAAGACCCACACGTGCGAGGGGGCAACACTCTATCCCATACAAAGAAAACAGATGAAGTCCAAATTTTCTGTATAGGGCCGTCCATAAATGACGTCACGCACCTAGGAGGGGGGGGGGGTGAGACATTTGTAACGATGTGTGACGAGGAGGGGGGGGGGGTTTGAGAAATGTGCCGTCACATCAAAATGCGCAACTTTAAATAAATATAGAATTGTTATAACAACACTCCTACAACATCAGAGTGCGTCGCCACATTAAATACGCACTACAATGACAATAGTTTAAAGCGATTTGAAGCATGTTTTCTTTTCAAAATGGAAATATGGTTTTTTGGGAGGGGGGGGGGGCAGAGCTTTGTGAGGTCATATTTGAGGGGGGGGGGGGGTCTGACTTTTTGTGACACCATGTGACGAGGGGGGGGGGATCAAAAATTGTCCAAAATCGCGTGACGTCATTTATGGACGGCCCCTATAGCCTTCTGTGTGATCTACCAACCCTCTCCTCCACAGTACTGGATTACAGGTGTGCATAGCCAGTGATGCCCTCTCTATCATCTCTTTCGTCTCCTCTCTTTCCCCTTCTGCTCCCCCATCCCTAGCTCAGCTCTCCTTTTACTCCCTTAGATGACGGCCAGGTAAAAGAGCAGAATATTTAATTCAGCAACCAACTTTCGTCATCCTGTTTTTTTTTTCGGTTCTGCATCAATACTGAAAAGCAGAAATTAAATATATATTTTGTTCAAAATAAATTGTGAAATGTGGCATTTAAATATATATATATATAACTCGGCGGTGACATTTTACAGCGCTTGCTAACACGCCATTCTTGTCCACGGTGAGCAGAAGGATTTAGGGTTGAAAGACGTGGAATTTCTCGTCTCCATGATCCAGTCGAAGGAGGAGGAGGAGGAGGCATCGGGTGGTAGTGACAAGGCAGCCAGCGTTCCCGACCTCACGCACGGAATATTTGAGCGCCCATACAGCGAGGAACACAGCCGACTGCACGAACAACCAACGGCGAATGCGGAGAATGACGGTGGCTCGCTCACTGACGAGGGCCTGGATGATGAGGTCGAGGACGAGATTGTACGGACGGGAAAAGAGGTGAGCAACAACTTTCGACCATTGCGAATCATCTTGGGATCGTCAAAAAAAATTCCGCGCAGCTCTTTGTCAACGTGTGCTATAGAGAAGGACTTCCCATGCCTGGCGGCCATGGGGATTTGTTTTAACATAATTTGCCAGGCTGGTCAGTGCCGGGCCGGTTAAAGGGATGCAGGAGACTGACCAACGTGGGGTGGAGGGGTGACCTCCACCCCACAACGCAACCGGCACCGACTCAGTGTGGTGAACGGGCGGAGGAGGGGTGGACGCCATGGCTGGAGGTGATGGGCGATATTTGCAGAGGTCGTTTTTCATCGAGGTCAGCTACCCCTTTGCGCGACCTTCACGTTCGGATGACTCTGACCTCGCCTTTAGCGGCTGAGCGGCTCGACACCTTCACACATGAGTTGAAGAGCAGTGATTCTGTGCATGGTGCATGGGGGGGGGGGAACATGGGGCAAAAATAATTATTTTTTGCTTGGAAGCCGAGAGTGTCACAGCCACCTCGTCTCGGTCATTTTTATAAAAAAAAAATTGAGCACGAATGTTGTTACAATTCCAGAAAAACTTGCCAACGTTACACCAACGTTGGCATGTGGTTGGACCAACGTTGGACCAACGTTGCCCCAACGTTGGAGCAACGTTGAGGCAATGTCTACAGGGGGAGGGGCCCTTTGGCCTCTACTAGTTTCCCCACGTACCCGGCTGCAGACACTTGGGCTGTCCGATGTTCAGTGTCATGGACTGTGGGTTTTTTTCTTCAATTTATGTGACTTAAAGTATTTTTGTGACGTGACCTACAGCACGACACCGATGTCCTTTCTGGTCGTTCCATATATATATACGCATATATATAAATATACAAATATACAGAGTATTTCACGAGCTACTGGCGTTAGCCGTGAGCCAGGAGTTGAACTCGTGATTTTCGGGTTCATAGTCACCGTGAGGTGTCTGCCATCACAGAAACCACTGCTGATTTCCGATTGAGAGTCAGGCACTCTGCCCCAACGCGACCAGGCCTGATAAGAACCTCCGACTGCAAAATGTACAGATACATGGCTGCAGCTTCCACTTCACACCCTCAGTGTGAGCCCAGCCAGGGGCATCAGCGGTAGAGCGAGCGGCTCATAATCAGAAGGTTGTGAGTTCACATCCTGGTCGGGGGTTGACTCAACCCATCACCCCTCAGGGGTCAATACAGTTAGTACCACTTTGTGGGGAAGTCAACAGTGGTTGTTGTATGGATATGCTTTCTCCCGCCATACGAATGTGGAATTTCCATCACTGGCTCAGGGCTGTAAACGGTTAATGGACAACGACTCGGTGCCCATTCAAGCGTGAATTCGCCTTGAACTTTACTGTTGGCCATTGTCAATAGCCTCTTGTGGCATGTCGCTCAATGATATTTAAACTGAAGTCAACCGTGGCGGGTTTTTCTTTTCTTTCACAAAGCCGGTAAACTAATGGTGGAACAGAGAAATGGGGATTACGTTGGGTGAAAGAAGAAGTGCAAACGCCCAACTGCTGCTCCGCAAGGATGACTTCTCGGTGAGGAGGAAGAGACGGGGCCAGCTGCACGCCAAAGTTTGCACGACAGTGTCCGACCGAGGGGGAGAGATGTATTATTGTCGGGTTACACGCCGGAGGGCATTGTGTCTTCGTAGCTTTCACGTGGCCGACAAAAACAACACCACCACCACCACTACGGTGTAAATGTGCGGAGCGTTTGAATGCGATCCGTTGCCAAAGACGCTGGCGCAGAGCGGTCGATAGCGCACGTCGTCGCGATCGTTGAAAAGGGAAAGTAACCTGCATGCATTGTGCGTAAGGTGAGGTCCGGTGAAAGCACTTGAAAGGGAAGAGCCGGACAGCCACAGGCAGAAGACTAAAGAGGAATGTCTACACAGGCAGGGCACCAGGAGCAAAGATGACCGAGAGGGAGGAATTTCAGGCCTCTCATGATGTTCTCCGAGCTCCGGACACCATGTGCCTTGCTATGCATTGCTATTACACAAAGATCCCCCAGTATAGCCTTAACAGACAGCTGGGGCAAGTGCTGTTAGTGAGCGCTATGAAGGCCGGAAAGGCACACGAGGGGGTGGGTGGCCAGCACCACGCCCGGCCGCCTTTGTCTCCCTCGTACAGCAATGTTTTTACACATCCCACTAAGTACTCAATTGAGGCTGAGCCGACCTCGGGGATGCCCAGGACCGGTTCAGATAATCGTCACTGGTGTTGGCCGTGAGTGGGAATTTAACTCGGGTCGCCGGGTTCAAAGCGCAGCGCTAATCGCTGCACCACCGCTCCCCATTCGCACAGAGGCACAAACATAGAAGCGGTTTGTTTTGTGATTGCGACTTTCGATCTTGATACAGCAATCCCCAAGGACAGCAGTTCTAACTTTTAAATTAGGATGCTGCCTCAAAAATGTTTCTAAATAAATATGCCGCACATAAGAGATGAGAACATTTTACTTGTTGACAAATTTTCGTAACAAAATTGCCTTGATGAAAATCATGATTCATCCGCTGCATGGGAGATAAAAACGCATTCCGCCCTGAGAAGAGCCCTTTGACGAGAGCCATGGCCAGCAACAAGCTGCCACGAGTCCCCCCAAAGTGCCACAGTCAATGAGGCTACAGCTAGGCCAAGGGTCTCTGGAGCAGTTCCTTCCGTTTTGCGAATGAAGCATTGCTTGTTTTGCAAATCATGTCTTTCGAGCCCAACAATCTCCAGGCCAGGCAATGAATCTCTGGATTGCGATTTGCTCTCCGTCATTTTTGACATCGTAATAATAAGAACAACTGTTTCCACTCGCTCTCGAAGAGAGAAAACAACTCAAGAGGCATGGGGAGGAACCACAGGCGAGTGCGAAGGCAGCCACGTGGTCACCCGGTGCTGTATTCCACCCCACAAAATTCCGCGGTCCGCTCCATATCGATACGTTTACCGTCCACGCGCGTGAGGGAGCAACGCTCGATCCCCTACAGACGCGACAGCTGGAGTCCACGCGTGCTGTAGCCCACCTCCTGGCATGCCAGGGTGCGGCACCTCCGGGAGTTTCACAGCATGTGCTCCGCAGCGCCGGGTCGCAAGCGCACGCGCCACAACCGCCCGGCTGAATATTTGCGACCGGCCGCTTGCCCGGTGTGGTTTTCGAAACACCGTTAGACACACGCAAGGCGGCGCGACTGGTAGCCGTGTTGTTGTGACAGTTGTCTGCTGAATCTGGGGCGATTTCATCGTAATACTCAATGACTCATTCTCCACCACTCCAAGGAATGACCCCCTATCAGCTATACGGAGGATGAGCCTCTGTGACAGGGGGACCATGCTAAGTTCAGCCACTACCGTGGCCACTGTGGCTGTATAATAAATAATTACGTGCGGCCAAGTGAGCAGCTGAGCACATTTGTAATGTCAGAAGGTTGCGGAAGAAGGATGTTCACAATGTACGTATGCATACATGTCAATCCCTTATCAGTGCCCTACCTTATTACAGACCAATTCAGACCTTATTGGTCACCCCGTGCCCTTATAAATCTCAACGTTCATCCTGCAAAGCCCCATCACAAGGGAGAAACACAAAAAAATGCATTTTGCCCATATGGGAACTGCTGTACACAACTACTGAGTAAACCGTATGGGTTGAACTTCTTTCGCACCATACGTAGCCAGCCGTGCTAATAAGAGTTGATCCAACCAGCAGCGAAAGCGCGGCGTCCACGTGACCTGTGTGTTTGGGACGAGGCAACGTCGCCTCCTGGAGCCTGAACACTGGACTAATGTGACGCATGAATTCAACGTCAGCGTCAACTTGTGCTCTTCTTCTGGGTGCTTTCGGTAAAGTCACGTAGGAGGGAAATAATAAAATAATAAAAATAAAACATAATAAAATAATTCTCACGACGTTTCGGCCACAACGCAAGCAGCCGTCATCAGGTGAGGAACAGGTATGTCGGAAAGACAGCGTCTGAATGAACACCACCAGGCTTGGAAGCATATATTTATGCTGGGTTGGAGGGGGAAGAGCGCCTTGACAAAGGAATTTGCATATCAAGAGGAATTTAAATATACGCTTCCAAGCATGGTGGTGTTCATTCAGACGCTGTCTTTCCGACAGACCTGTTCTCCACCTGAGGACGGCTGCTTGCGTTGTGGCCGAAACGTCGTGAGAATTATTTTATTATGTTTTATTTATTTTATTTTATTATTTCCCTTCTACGTGACTTTACCGAAAGAACCAAGAAGATGAATCCCTGCAGTCACGAAAGTTTTAAATCGAAATTTAAGTTGTGTTCTGTGCGAGCGTACGAGTGCAGCGGTGTGTTCAGGAGCTCAAAGCCGATGCCGAGGTCTGCCGCTGGCCGCGACGAGAGGGATTCAGGAGAGAGAGAGAGAGTTCGCGTCGTGTCGCTGTTCCTCTTCCGATTGAAGGCGCGCAGACCACAGCAGTTTATGATATAGTCCATATGTTCGAAGGCAGCCATCGTCCAATAACCACGAAGCAATGCTCCTCTCTAGCGGTAGCCCTGGATCATTGGTCTAAATTAAACATTTCCATGGTGCTCATCAGTTTTGCCCTGAGTACCGCAGTTAATCTCCACGTAGCTGTGCTTGTTTTGTCAGCCCTAAACGGATGATGGGGAAATGTTTAACCCTCAATGAAATGTGAAGTCACGTCCTTATGATCGTGCATTAAAGTACTCTGTCAAAGTGACACTCACTCAGACGATTAAAAGCTTTCTCAATCGGATAGAAACATTAAGACAAACTGACACGCTCGGAATGATGACAACTCAGATTACAATGCGTTAGGCATAACTTTTGGCATTTACTGCAATTCATCGTTCTATAACACTAATACATTTAAAAAAATCATCAATATGACACCCGATTGCCTTGCTGGCAGAGAACGGGTACAAGATGTGCATGCGTGCATTTTGTGAACCGAAATGAAAATACTTGTTTTTGTCTTGGGGCTGTCGGCTTTTTTTCACAACGAACAAATCGTGAATTTTAAGCCCAGACGAGGGGGTCGATCAAATCTCTGCAGCTCCAGACGCTGCGCAACAACAACAACGGCGACGACCTGCTGCAGCCCGCCCCAACAACGCTTGGCTAACGCGAGTGAAACTCCAGTCAGGTCGGTGTGTCCAGCAATGGCTTGAACGGCGTGTGCTGGGGGGAGGCCCCGTGTGATCTGCCGCAGGACGTGGCGGGAAACGGAAGGATGCTCACGAAGAGTGTCTCCATGGCGTCTCTGACAACGGTGAGTGTTGCCGCACGCGACTCGATTGATCGCATCTGACGGGTTTGTTTCATCATTGTGCAGAGATCTTGTACGGGGACTCCTCTACTTACGCACATTTGACTTACGAACTAACAGAGATATGAACAAACCTATTCTTGGTTTTTTTTTCGGTAAAGTCCTGTAGGTAAAAATGTAAAATTAAAATTAATAAAAGTAAAATAGAATAAAAATTACGACGTTTCGGAGGCAACACAAGCTTCCGTCTTCAGGAAGACGGAAGCTTGTGTTACCTCCGAAACGTCGTGATTTTTATTTTATTTTTATTTTACTTTTATTAATTTTAATTTAAAATTTTTACCTACGTGACTTTACCAAAAAAAACTAAGAATATGAATCCTTGCAGTCACGAAAGCTACAAATCTAGAATGAACAAACCTGTCCGTATGTCCAGTTGCCTGTTCGGACCGAGAGTCGTAAGTTCAACCGCCGCGCAATAGACGGCGGTGGTGGCATCTACATCTGCAGAACGTGAAGAACCAGTGGCATCTACATCTGCAGAACGTAAATAATCAGTGGCATCTACATCTGCAGAACATGAAGAACCAGTGGCATCTACATCTGCAGAACGTAAATAATCAGTGGCATCTACATCTGCAGAACGTGAAAAATCAGTGGAATCTACATCTGCAGAACGTGAGGAACCAGTGGCATCTACATCTGCAGAGCATAAATAATCAGTGGCATCTACATCTACAGAAAATGAAGAATCAGTGGCATCTACATCTGCAGAACGTGAAGAATCAGTGGAATCTACATCTGCAGAACGTGAAGAACCAGTGTCATCTACATCTACAGGAGATTCTAGAACGTTTAAAGAGATTGTCCGTGTTTAGTGTCCATGCCGTACAACATGTTTGGCATCGACAGGAGGAAAGTTGAACTTAGGAACCGACTTATGAACAGACCTCTGGAACCTAACTCGTTTGTAAGTAGATGAGTCCCCGCAGTGCCACGTATTAGCATTCTGGTCCATTTTAAAGAGACGGAAATGTATTTGGAGGCAGATTAAGTAAAACCATTTGAGGTGTTTTTCTCTTCTTGAATGTGCAGACGTTGCACCCGCTTGAGTTGTCGCTCTCTCTCTCTCTCTCTCTTCAAGGCACAAATAAAAATGGGGACACTGAACACGGCCAAGGCAATGGAAGGTGGCAAAAGACTCAGGTATAATAATTATAATAAAAGACTAAAGTATAATAATTACGACCAGTTGGCGGAGCCCCCCCCCCCCGCCCTCTCCATCTCTCCTCCCTGGCTCATCCCCCCTTCTAAACCTTATATAATCTCTCGTCACAAGCCCACTACGTAAATGTATTTCTTGCTGTGGCTGTCCCACCTGATGACGGAAGCTTGTGTTGCTTCCGAAACGTGGTGATTTGATTTATTTTGAATTTGTTTTTAAATTTTTATTCATTTTATTTTATACCTACGTGACTTTACCGAAATAACTAAAGAGTAAAGCGTAAAGACTAAGGTATAATAATAATGAAACACTAAGGCATAATAATAATAATTTGACTTGTTTTCAGCAAGCACTGTACGCTCCATGGTGTCATTTGCAATGCCTCAATACAACTACAACCCACCCTCTCTCGTCCAATGCTCCAGGATCGACCTCCCCCCCATCTTCCCACTTGAGAACTCCCTCCCCCCCATATACAAACACAGCAACACCGCTCGCTCTCTCTCTCATATTCAGGATTCTCGCGTTATTCGGAGCGACTTCCCGCAAATTCTCGCGGGTAACAATGTTGTCTCGACGAATATCGCGCGCGCAACTTCGGCAGATGCTTCTGAAGCTTCGAGAAGTTCTCTCTCATTTATGTATCTCATCACTTTATCTCTCATCACATTTTCTCTCACCGCTTTATCTCTCACCACTTTATCTCGCATCACTTTATCTCTCATCACTTTATCTCTCATCGCTTTATCTCTCACCACTTTATCTCTCGTCACTTTATCTCTCATCACTTTATCTCTCATCACTTTATCTCTCATCACTTTATCTCTCATCACTGTATCTCTCATTGCTTTATCTCTCATCGCTTTATCTCTCATTATTTGATCTCTCATCACTTTATCTCTCATCACTTTATCTCTCATCACTTTATCTCTCATCACTGTATCTCTCATTGCTTTATCTCTCATCGCTTTATCTCTCATTATTTGATCTCTCATCACTTTATCTCTCATCACTTTATCTCTCATCGTTTTATCTCTCTCACCACTTTATCTCTCTCATCACTTTATCTCTCATCACTTTATCTCTCTCATCACTTTATCTCTCATCACTTTATCTTTCTAAAATTAGCATTTTTAATAATCACACTTTCTCCTCAAACGCACAGAACATAAAATAGCAACAACACTGCCCTACAGTGGAACAAATATAAATATATATGATAGGCAAGGTTTCAGGCAATATCACTTTTGTTATGAAGAAGGTTGGTTGATTACTTGGCAACATGTTGTTTTTTTATATTCTTGGTTCTTTCGATAAAGTCACGTAGGTAATTTTTTTTAATCAAAATTAATAAAAGTAAAATAAAATAAACATAAAATAAAAATCACGACGTTTCGGAGGCGACACAAGCTTCCGTCTTCAGGTGGAACCGTCACAGCACGCTTGCTGTATCAAGTAAATGAGAGATTCCAAGAGATACTACCCCGTATATATACTGATTGAGGGGGGGGGGGATGAGCCAGGACAGGCCCCCTTTTTAAATCCTTTATATTACGTTCACTTGCTTGCTTGCTTGCGTGCTTACGACCGTGCAAATCTTTCGGTCGTTTTTTAACCCACTTCCCGTGATCCAATCGAGCTGACATTTTGCACACAGACTCGTTGTGCGTGATTATTTCTTTTCGTGAAAATTTTTTCCCAAAATTTTACACTTTTTAGGTAAAAAAATAAATTATATTTAATTACCAATTGCTTAATGGTGGCAGGCAATCATCTGACCCATAGGTGGCAGCCATCTCAAGCCAGAGGATGAGAGGACTCTAGCCGCCCGTTTCAAAGACCAATGTGGGCTGTGTTGTGGCCCATTGAACACGCATATAAAGGATTTATAGTGAAAAACTTTTTTTTACGGGTTATTTTTTTATTATTATGGTAAGGTGCGGCTTGAGACTACGGCTAGTCTACATAATAAAGGACTGAGCCTTTGTTATGTAGACTGGATGAGAGGAGGGGGGGGTGCCAGAGTTGTTCAAAGTGCAACTGCTGCTAATGAGACCGAGCCTCTGCCATGGTAAAAGCATAAAAGCAGGTCAGAAAGAAACAGCCTCCTGCTATGTTGCCTGGTGGGTAAAACTTATAGCAGGAAACCGGCGTGTGAAAAAAGAAGCTAAACATGGTAAAACAAAACTGGCTGTCTATCAGTAACCTGTACAGTAACTCAAGAATAGTTGTCTGTCAAATAAGATGGTCCAAATATGTGTAGTTAAATCTTTTTTGCATGGTTAATCACATCTTTCCAATGATTACTCAGTTTGTACCCATCATCACGGTTGAAATTATGTCTGTGTTTGTATATTTGTATGGCTTCGTGTACAAACCTTTGATGGTAGCCAGGAGGTTTGCAGAGCACCTTGGTCTCGGAAAAGACAATTTCATGAGAGCCCACAGAGTTGTAGCAATGATCGGCAACGGCCGAAGAGTCAGTTCTGCCGTGTTTCAGAATATGAATCCTTGCAGTCACGAAGCTTCAAATCTAGAATCTTTCGGTAAAGTCCCGTCGAAGGGAAATAATAAAATAATAAAAATAAAACAAAAAAATTCTCACGACGTTTCGATTGCAACACAAGCAATCATCATCAGGTGTGAAAACCACAGCACGAAAATTTGAAAAAAAGTGGCGGGATTATTTTATTATTTCCCTTCTACGTGAGAATATTAATCCCTGCAGTCACGAAAGCTTTAAATCGAAACATATTGTTTCTTCTTATTGTAACGTTATTGATAAACGTGTTGAGTTGTTGTTATGTGTACTTGTTATGTGTACGTGTGCACCGCTCAAATCGCGTAGCTCAGTGGTCCAGCTCGCAAATCAGAAGGTTGCGAGTTCAATTCCTGGTAGGGGGGGAGTTGGTTGGTTGACGCAGCCCATCATTCCTCCTGGGGTAGATACATTGAATACCACTTTGTGGGGAAGTCAACAGCGGTGGTTCTATGTAAAGACTCGCCCTCGTGCCGTACAAATGTGTGTCAATTTTCACCACGAGCTCAATGCTGTGAGCAGGCGATGAACACCAAGGCCTCGATGCGCATTTGCGCCGACGAAAATAACTCTGCGGCTTACTGTGGCGGTCGTTCGTGTGCACAGGAGCTGGCCGTGTTCATCTGCGCGGACTCGTTTATCTGCGGTCGCGTATGGAGCTTGTTAAACGTTTCTTGTCGCACCCTCCCCCCCCCTACCCGCTTCCATGACCTTGCAGGATAAAATGGTCAAATGTGTACGTGACGCTGCACGAGTCGGGCTTGACTTTCAGGAAGTCCTCGAGTGCGAAGGTCAGCGTTCACGTCCTGTTCTGTTACCCCCCTCGACGTTATCTCTGCGGACCATCTTGACTCGGGTGTGTGTCCCCTTGCAAGATGTTAACTACCTCGCCTGGTATTTTGGAGGTTCGTGGGTTCGATCCCAATACTGGCGCTTGTACATTTGGAGTTTTGCGTGTCTCTCTCTCTCTCCACGGTCACGTGGATTTTTCTCCGGGCCCTCCGGTTTTTTTCCTCCACGTTTAGAATCAACATCACCACGCGTTTAGAGTATTTGGCTGCTATACATTGCCACGTGATAAGCCACTTCGTTGAGCTATAATTTGCGATAGCCAGGTCGAATCTGAAAAAGAGCTGTATAGCTCAGTGGGCACTTACCGGTGAAATAAAACGAGTCTCTAGTTTAGTAAAAGAGCTCCCGTGCACAGTTCAAATTCTCACCTGGCAAAGTAAAGCGTGACTCTGCATTCTTGACGTCAGACAAAAGTGAATCTGACCCTTTGCACCGCTGGCGAAGCAAGCCGGACCACCCGCTGAGCACCGTCGTAATGAAAAACAGAAGCACAGATTATGACATTAACTTGCAAGATATCCGCTGTCCAGAAATGTCGATGTAAAGTGTTTGGTTATTGCCTTGTATTGCAGATGTGCATGCAAAGTATAGATGGCTGAATCATGCACTAGCCAGTTGATCGTTTAACAATTCGCTATATCAATCTAAGAGCACGGGCATATAATAATAATATAAATATTATATATACATAATTCCTGTGCATGCCATTTGATGTGTGTATCCTGAGAGTAAAAATTGTATGTTATTATTATGCCTGACGATATGCTCAGGAGCTAAATGCCAATGCTAGCCACGACGAGATGGCTTTAGGAGAGAAATCCTATAGCTTTGCTACTGCTCCTGCTTTGAAGGAACGCAGACTGCAGTGGTTTACTATGTTGTCCATAATAAATGTTCAGTACATGTTTAATGAGCAATTGCAATAACCAAATAAAAATTTACTGTGCCACTTGAATTGGAAGTTGTCATCGTTTTTGGTCGCTCAAAACCAAAGATAACCTCTTTATTTCTTCCATGCTTCAGAAAACTGCCCAAGGGGAGATCAGCCTCCTGGGAGCTCAGCTGCAAAGAGCGACAGACAAGGAATACAGGAAGAGAAACGTCATCCAGGTAGCGCCCTGTGGACACGCTCCCCTCCCTCCCTCCCCGCGACAACACAACGAGTAAAACACCCCCCCCACCCCCCATTCTGATCGTCGTGCTGCTGTCAAACCCCCCCCCCCCCCAATGGTGTCAAATGGTGTGGCGGCCCTCGCACTGATGATGGCTTAACGGTGAAAGTGCCCTCCTCCCCCCTCTGACAATGAGTCTTCAGGTGTTGTGGCCGAGAGGTCGTGTTTTATTTTATAATTTTTCTTCTACCTACGTGACTTTACCGAAAGAACCAGAGAGTATGGGTTCCTGCAGTCACGAAAGCTTCAAATCAAGAATGAGTGTTAAACACTGTTGTCAAGAATGGATGATGCATTGGATGGTGGTGAATAGGTGGTCAAAAAAATGTGTGAACTAGGAGATTGAACACGTGTGGTGAACCACCGTGATTGGGACTGTTTATGTCAAGATGTTGAGCTTTAATATGAAAGTATCTGTCAAGGGGACAGAAGCACTGTCCCAGTAGGGGTCGTGTTGGACGGTATGCAGTTGGCTGGACGAGTAGGTGGCTACAAGTTCCGATAGGTGCATGTACAACACTTTGTCAATCCACTGCTGAAGACCTATCCACACCTCATCAGACCAGATCGTACTTCACCACGCTAGTTCGTGAATGTTGATCACAGGGGAGGCAGGCTAGAGCCGGTCCACGCTTCACTCGTCATTGATGTTACATGTACGTATAAGCTCTTTCACACCCTGCGTGGCCAAGCTAACCACAACAACGACATTTCTCAAGAAATGAGTTGTCAATTTCGACGAAATTGGTTTTAAATCATTTGAGTTAAATGTACGTTAAATGTATACTCTTGCGATTTAACAATACAACACCAATATGCTTCCCTCAATGAAGGACACATCCCCCTCTGTAAAGGGCAACTCTTTACAGAGAGTTGACAAGTGGGCAGGTCTCAAACTCAGGTCGCCAGGTCCACAGTGCAGGGCTTTCACCGCCGCCCTACCGCTCGGTTTTTACGATAACCGTGACGTTTTAGCAGCTTGACGCCAGCAAGGGTAAAACCTCTTCTTATTTTGTCAAACCGTGACACGAGGGGTCAGCGTCACCCCCTTGACCCCCCCCCCCGCCCGTCCCCCCGCCGATGCATTCCCGTGCAGCTCACCACGGCGGAGAGCGACTGCTACCTGCTGCAGTCGGACATTGACGTGAACATCGCCCAGTGGTACGAGCGCATCCACGAGGTGACTCAGGCACAGGTGCGTTCCACGCGGTGCAGCGTCCGTAGTTTGTCGCCAAGGTACGAGGAGACACGGGGCAGCCCCGTGGGAACAACGGTGACCTCGCCGTTAATTGACGGACACACATTTACAGCCACTTGTCAATCCACTGCTGGACAGGTGAGGACTTCCCCGTGCCACGTTTGTCTCGGTGAGGGTTGTTTGAAGGTATTTCGCCACGCCGGTCAGCGCAGGTTGGTGAAGGGAGGAGGAACGCAGGACCACCGCTGATGTCAGCCATGGCTTGGAATAGAACTTGAACCCAACACCGATAATGGAGGTTTTTTTGGGAGTTAGATCGCGTAAATATATAAATGTGTCGTCAAAACCCACTACCACCCGACACAGCCAACTAGTAAGGGTTGTCACGTAAACAGAACGTTGACAATTCGTCACTAGTACAGCAGCACCGGTGTGTTGGAGAGCCAAGCCACAACATTTACAATCTGAGTACGACGTTTCGCCAGTAATTACAACTAGCTTCATCATGTTCTGTTTACGTGACAACCCTTACTAGTTGTCTGTGTCGGGTGGTGGCGGGTTTTAACGACACATTTATATATTTACGCGATCTAACTCCAAAAAAAACCTCTATTATGGATGACCCAACATCGAGTTCGGAGTGGTAGTGTGCTAACCACTGCCCTGCTCATTCTCATCAATGCACACATCAAATAATATAATTATTAAACGTGCACCAGTTGGCATCTGAATACACCGTTCCGAACACCGTGCGTTTATGAATAAGCATTGATGCGCGATTGTAATTGGGCAAAGGCGGAGAGCCGAGAGTAAATTTACACTGTTACGGCCTGATGTTGTCTTTCAGGCCTGTCAGAGTCCCACAGGTGAATGCATCTACGAGGATGTCATCATCGATGGACAGGGCCCTCCAAAGCCTGCAGGCTGCCCGTGCGAAGAAAGAACATCACCAGGTTTGGAGCTGTGGCTTCATACACGATAACTCACATCATTTACACCAACGCTTCTGAGAATTTGCAACAACAACACAATCAATGTGCCTCCAGACGCTGGAGACCACCTGGAGAAGATTCCAGGCAACGTGTTGATAATGATGGCGAACAAGTGGAGTAGACTGAAGCTATGAACATACATGTGTTATCACTTGTATAGTGTATTATTAAAAACGATAGTCTCATATAAGCGTTAACATATTTTTGAAGCAACCTTTAGTGTCGATTCCCCCGGTATAACCGAGCAGACTGTTTGAGCCAAGTGCTGTTAGCGAGTAGCACCTGTGAAGGCCAGCACGGCACACGTGTCTGCCCAGTGCTGGGTTTTGTAAACACTGCGCCAGGCACTCATTTGAAGGCTGAGTCGACTTAGCAGAGACCCAGGACCGGTTTCAGATATCCGTGACTGACGTTGACCGTGGGTGGGAATGGAACTCCGTGTCGCCAGGAGAAACGTCTTTCTGTGTCTTGTGCGCCGTGCTGTTTCACCGCAGCCAGAAGCAGAGCCGAACCGCCGATGGACCGGACGAACATACGGGAGAAGCTTCGGAAGCTCATTTCGAAGAGGCCTCCCAGGCAATCTTTGAGAGACAGAGGCATCATAAAAGGTACGATTTTAAGTCGCGTTATTTCACGAAATGCGTGCAGGGTTAAGGCAGGCAAAGTGCGAGCCTAATCCCGTGGAATGGATGGGAGCGAGTGACCTCGGCAGCGGCGTCGGCCGAAGTCCAACTCACTCTCCTGAATGATGACCGAATGAAGACCTTGACCGAGGTTTGAACCTGAGACTTTGAAACTGCGAGTCAAGCTCACCATTGCTGTTCTACCCCTGACCGTGCTGCATTTTGAGATGCGCTGTGCATCGGATGTGAACGTTACGAGTGAACGCAATGAGCAAACACGATGGCGTGCACACGATGCGTATGTTGTCGGCGTTTTCGTTCTTTCTATAATGTGCCGTGAACCCGGGCGAGCCGACTTCGATTGCCTGCCACGGCTAATGTCAGCGGCGAGTGAATCTGAGCCGGTCCTGCACCACCACCCATGCCCACTCCCGGGCACCGACCAAAAGTCGCCGTACACATGTAAAACTCTCCCGTGTGTGACCGTGGTCACTCAGTAACAGAACCATGGAACATCTGACGTCTCGATTCCCTATTCACAAATACGAAGGAGGCATCATCGCGAACGGTCCACTCCGCTACTCCTGACGCAAATATCTGGCTCAACCACCTGAATGCAAAATTATAGTTGTTGCTCTACACCTACATCGGCCATATAATGATGATGAGGAGGAGGAGGAAGAAGAAGAAAAAAACTGATCAGCGTGGTGACACACGGTCAAAGACAAAGATCCCCCGTATAGCATTATCAGACTGTAGGGGCAAGTGCTGTTAGCGAGCACCTATGAAGGCAAGAACGGCACACGAGGGGGGTGGGTGGCCAGCACCACGCCCGACCGCCTTTGTCAGCCGGGTGGCGATGTTTACACACTGCACCAGGTACTCGTTTGAGGCTGAGTCGACCTAGGGGAGGCCCAGGACCGGTTCAGAAATTCGCCACTATTGTTGGTCGTGAGCGGGAATCGAGATCGGGCCGCCGGGTTCCGTAGCGCAGCGCTGACCGCTACGGCCACCACGCCGGCGACCAACACGGCGTGGGGTAGGCAGGCCTTCACCCAACGGTGCATTGACAAGGGGCTCTGAAGAGCTCTCGGTGTGACGCGTAGCTGAAACGCGCCTCCCCCCCCCTACCCTTCCCGTGTCTCCACAGACCAAGTGTTTGGCTGCCCCCTGCAGTCGCTGTGCGCGCGCGAAGACTCCACCGTCCCTGCGTTCGTCAGGCTCTGCGTGCAAGAAGTGGATAAGAGAGGTGGTTACGGAGGCTTGCCAAGGGGCTTGGTGCTCCAAGAGAAAACAAATCTGCACGGCACGATGCTGAGGGACAAACAACACCCACGCTTGGTGTTAGAAAGTGAAGAATGTGCGCTCGAACAAGCGATGTATAGTGCTCATGTGAATTGGCAGTCAAAAGATAAGCGGGCAGTCTCTGCGTAAGACAAACACTGCCGATTTGCTACAATGATAAACAATTTAATTGACCCGGGCGAATGGTGATGATGAATCATCATCATCACCGTCATCATTCCTTCAGGTTCTTTGAATCATTCTCTCTCTTCGAGAGTAAGTTAATACTATTATAGGAACTTCCTGGCTACACCAGTCCACAGGGGATTATTGTGTCCGTCCGTCGTGCAGGGAGGGGCTGGGTGGGGAGGGAGGGGCTGGGTGGGGAGGGGAGGTTGGGGAGGGGCTTGCTGGGTGGGGAGGGTGGGGCTGGGTGGGGAGGGGCTGGTCACCCCGTGATGCCCTTATAAAACTCACCGATTAACCTACTCACGCCGGCTTGTGCCCGCCCTCACAGTCGGGCATATTTGCGGAATACACCACGCCGCCGTTGACCCTGGCCATGGACCGAGCAACCCAACGTTCCTACCAGCTCCCTCCGCAGGAATATGTTTTATAATGGATGGACAAGTAGGTGGTGAGATTGTAACGCAACATTTTCCTGCTGTGCGCTGAATGCCCTGGCAAAGTGCCCCTGCAGCCAGGTTCGGGATAAAATACCGATTGGGGAAAGCGCTGGGTTTCGTTTCATAGGCACCTTTGTCCATGCCGCTGGTAACATAAATGTGCAATGGGCTTGCTTGTACACACAGACAAACACAAAGAGCATAACCCTGCTCTAATTAACAAAGGGGGGGGGGGTGTGTATTAGTGAAATGTTGCATTAGAAAAAGTTTCTGCGACGCGTGGACTCTCTGTGACGGGGGGGGGGGGGGCGGTGGTTCAAATGACTGAAGTGTTCACAATTTTTTTCATAAAACTCTTGACGTGTCGCTCGCAGGCCTGCAGGTCGATGGCATCTACAGACTGAGTGGGAATCTCGCCTCGGTGCACAAGCTGCGCTACGCAGTCGACCGAGGTGTGCGACGAATTTACTCTCAAAAGCGATTTCCTCCACCCTCCGTCAGAATGTAGCGACGCCGTTTTAAAGAACCGACCTGTCAAACCGATGAGGATAGTCAGCGCACTAGGACAGGATGATGATGATTATGATAACAACAACAGAGTGGCAGCACCAGACATGTGCTGCCACCGAGGCGACAGGGGCTCGTAAATCGTTTCACGCGCAGGTTGGATTTATTACTTCGCTGGGATCGCGAGAGAACTGTGGCAGTGGCTTGGGGGGGAGCCCTTCATCCAGCAAGCGGATCCACCGTGTGGAGGCTTTTACCTCGAGGGATGTAGAGTGAGGTCAATCAAGAGGTCATAGCGAGCAATGCGTGCGGTGTCTGTCTGTCATCGTATGTTGAGAGGTAGTGTTGCGGTTAGCGCGGCTTTGCCGTAGCCGGAGACCAATGTTCAGTTCCCGCTCATGGCCAACACCAGTGACGATTATATGAACCGGTCCTGGGCCTCCCCTAGGTCAACTCGGCCTCAAATGAATACCTGGTGTGGTGTACAGACATCAAAGGCGGTTGGGCGTGGTGCTCACCACCCACTCACCTCCTCGTGTACTTTGCCGTCCTTCATAGGTGCTCGCTGACAGGACTTGCCCCAACAATCTGTTGAGGCTATACGGGCCATCTTTGCCTTCGTTTATTGTATGTTGAACTTCCTTCCCACCGTACGTAGCCGACCGTGCCACTCGGGAGGTGGTGCGGTGGCGTCGCGCCCCCGTCGCCCTCCTCCTCCTGCCAGGCCCCACAACGGCGGTGCAGTCGACACCCCGGCGGATGACGTAATGGGGATACGCAGCGAGGCCGCCGATTACACTGGTCAACAAAAAAAATACATTTTTTTTCTGGCCTGGACTTTTGCAGCTGTTTTAGACTAATTTCAGGGTGCTGATTCCAAATCTGATCTCATATTTGCTCTATCACATCTCATTTTAATGCTTTCGGCATACCCCATTTTCATTGATTTTACCCGAAATTAACTCCGTCACTTATGATTGCAAGTTGTTGCGAGTCAGTGACAGCTTTACTGTTAAAATATGGTGCTGTATTTTTAGGATAGTGTGTTTATAATATCATTTTATGTAGATATCCACATTTATTTAATATTTTTCTTCTGCAGTTTTTATTGAAAATGCAATATTTGATATCTCAAACACCTGATGTGATAGACAAAAACTGATGCCAGCTTTGGAATCAGCACCCCAAAATTACCTTAAAACCGTTGGAATACCTTATGCCAGAAAAAGTGTGTTGACCAGTGTAATCAATGATCGTTGTTTATAATAATCGTTTAAATCGATTGCGTTGTCGCGCAGTAGCGCTCAATCTGGATGGGAGTTAGCAAGGGGGGGCCGCCCGGCAGCGGCAGGCCCGGTGCTCGCTGGGCTGGGCGGGTGGCGGTCACGGGAGCCGTCTCCCGTGAGACGCGGGGGAGCAACTCGACGTATCGAGGCTTTACGAGCGGGAGTCGCAACGAGCGCTGGGACGCGGGGGAGAGCCCTCGGCGTCGAACATACACGACGGACCCAATCAGACTCCATCGGACCCGATCGGACCCAATTGGACTCGATCAGACTCCAATCGGACCCCATCGTGTTAATACCGTCGGCCATGCGCCTGCAAGCCCAGCGGCCTTTGCAGGTGGGGCCGGTGGAAGGTGCAGAGCAAATAATGTGGCCTGTAGGAGGAGGCAGTAGAAGCAAGTGGGATGACCGTCCTGTCCGTAAACATTGATGGGGGTGACGCCTGCTCGTCAGCTGTGACTGCTTCGTCGCTTGACCGTGTTTACCGTGAGAAAGCTTTAGGATGCTTGTGAGCGGCGGTGCCGGTGGTTAGCGCACTGCACTTCGAACCCCGGTGACCCGAGTTAAACCATCGCGCGTGTGTTTTACTTTTCTTTCGTTCGGACGTTGACCGGTTGTTGAAAGTTTTCCATGCGGTATTCACTCGCGACGACGACGCTTTGTCCTGACGAACCCTGCTCTATGAACCCGCGGACAACGCCACCCGAAAAGAGGATAAGCTGGACCTCGGCACGGACAGCCCCTGGGTGGACATTCACGTGGTCTCCGGGGCCCTCAAGTTGTTTTTCCGAGAGCTGCCGGAGTCGCTCATCCCGCAGAAGAACTTTGGGGATTTTGTGAAGGCCCTCGGTGAGTCTGCAAGCGCAACGCACTTTCATGAGGTCGTGCTCGTTACACGCAAAGTGTTTGCCACAAATGAGCCACATTAGCTTGCTGATGTCGTCAAGGAGCATGAAGCCATCATCGCTAACTCCAGCAGCAGCGCCTTTTGGCGGAGCATCGAACAAAGACGGTGGTCATTGTGGTGCACACTTTCAGGTGCGTTTCTACGGCCGTCTGGAACACACTTCCTTCCGATATTAAAAACATTGAAAACTCATATTTTATGGGTTTTTCGGGAAAGCCACGTAGATAGAAAAATAATATAAAATATCGTCTTCAACACAAGCAATCGTCACCTGAAAACGATTGCTTGTGTTGCGAACGAAACGTCGTGATATTTTTTTATTATTTTTCTATCTACGTGGCTTTACCGAATGACCCATAGAATATGTATTTCTGCAGTCAGAAAAGCTTTCAGTGAAGATTGAAAACTCATTTCTTTAGAATTGCATTTTTGTGTTTAGGTTGTTGTCGTTCCCCGCACCTCCCTTCATCACGGTTGGCTGCGTACGGTGAGAAAGAAGTTCAACACCCATCCGTAGACACAAGTCAGTTCAGCCACCATGGTCAGTGTGTTGGCGCACATGAACCTCGAGGGAATCGTTGTATTCGATGTGAAATATTTGGGATGAAGTGCTCTCAAAAGTCAGCACCAAATGGCTCAGAATGCGCCCGGTCTCATCAGATCTCAGGTGAAGCCTGGATGTTGCTTGGATGGGTGACCGCCACGCATGCCAGGTAGCGATAGACTGCCGTGGGGCCGTGCAGCACAAATTAATTATTGAACTGTACTTCTATGCCCCCAACGTCTATGCCCGCCGCCTTCACCAACAACAACAACCCGCTCCGACCAGCGCGGCGAAGTTTCGGTCAAAGAACCCACGTGATGATGCAGACGGCAAGGCACGGGGAGGCCGTCTTCCAGCAGTGGATTGACGAAGTGCTTTTTGAAAGTCGAATGTGGCCCAGCTTCAAATGACCATTGGAATTGCACGTGTACATGTCGGAGTGCCTGAGCTCACGGAGATGAGTCGTGTTCCTGCTGTGGCTGGAGTCCTCTCCATAGGGCAACTGTGCCACAGTGGCGAGATGTTAACTACCTCGCCTGGTATGTAGGAGGTCGTGGGTTCGATCACCAACCCTGACGCCTGCTGCTGTATATTTGGAGTTTGTGTGTCTCTTATCATCATCACGGTGGTTAGGAGATGTTAACTACCTTGCCTGGTATGCAGGAGGTCGTGGGTTTGGTCCTAACCCTGACGCCTGCTGCTGTATTTTTGGAGATGGCGTGTCACTCCCTCCCCGTGTTTGCGTGGATTTTTATTCCGGTCCTCCGATTTCTCCCTCGACATTTAGAATCAACATCACGTGTTTAGAGTATTTGGTTGCTATACATTTCCAACTGATAAGCCACTTAGTTGAGCTATCATTTGTGGCCAGGTGGCTTCTGAAAAAGAGCTGTAAATCTAAGTGGGCCTTACCTGGTAAAATAAATAAAAATAACTGTTTCATTTTATATTTTAGTTGTATTGTGTACTTCCTCCAGATTAATTGACCCCAGTAAATCCCCGATCACAATTTGACCACATGCTCCTTACACTGAGATAATAAAATTTGACTCCAACTCATAGGAATGAATAACTGTCAAGCAAGGACAGATGCCATTGGAGGGCTGATCAACTCCCTCGCTGGACCACATCTGGAGACCATGAAGTTCCTCTTTGGGCACCTTAAACGGTAAGGGACGCAACGTATCACGTGTTAAGGTGCTATGAAGTCAAGGGCAGACTTTGCACGATGCCTCGGATCAACAACAGTTGCGCATCTCTTGCCGTAACAAGCGGGAGTCGATGGTGGTCTCTGTGTGTCTGCATAGGTCTCTGTTTTTTGTGTCCCCTGTTTGTTAAGTTACGGCATTCGCTCACACACATTCTCAGTGCGCCCTTAACAGCATTGCACCGTGGCTAGATGATCACCCACGCTTCCTAAGGCAAGGCCAGGGCCGTGGTGGAGTGTTTGCGTTTGCAAACGCTCAAAATGCGAGCATGCGCGCACGTCTGCGCGTCAATACAGCTTGCGCACTTTGGGAGGCAGCGGCTTGCCGAAGTCTCAAGACATATGGGTCGGTTTCAAGCCACACTGCGCAGCAGATGTTGGCATCTGTTGTGTAAATAGATTTCTTTAGGTCAACTCAAAAGCGTGGCGTTCTGGCTTAATCAGCTACTCCTAACCAGCCTTGCAGGAGGTGTCTGTTTATGTGATCTCGAATTTTTAGATGCCGGGCAGGACTGGAAATACATTGCAGCTACTAGGACAAAATAAACCACGTGGTTACTCATCGTTCTCTGTTGCAAACCCCCCAAACACATAACTGTCAACCCATACGGTTTACCCCGTATTCTTGTACAGGGAAATTGAGTTTTCAGGTCCATACGGCATACAGCCGTTTCAATAGGGCTTTATAGGATGAACGTTGACATTTATAAGGGCACGACGGGGTGACCAATAAGGTCTGAATTGGTCTGTAATAACGTCGGCACTGATAAGGGGTTGAAGGTATGCAAACACCTGGAATTCCATTGCGTCAAAATTGTATGCGACGACTCGTCCATGTAAATCATGATACGATGCTAAGCTGGTTGACTATGTACGGTAACTTTACTTGCAGCAGCATTTGACAAATCTCATTCGCCTGTTTGCATACTTGCGCAATAATCAGCATGCAATTATCGTTGTTTCTGTAACTTATTTTTACTTTGAATGGGATTTTTTTTTACAATTTGTCCGAGCCAAATTTTGTTACAGGAATTTTTTTAATTAATTTCCTAATGATCTACGATTGTGCACTCTCTTCCATTGCTTCTGTAACGCGATTGTTCTGCCTTTCATTTCCATTTTCGAGATATTTCTCCGATTTCTTTTTGTTTCTTTGTTCTTCTGCGTTTTTATCTTCACTGTGTTTGTCATTTTGGCCACTAAGTGTCGCTGTTGAAAAGGGGACTCATCCTGGCCCTCTTAAGTTCTCACCTTGTTAAACAAATTGATGTTCGGGCTAACTGGCAGGTTGCTCGTCCTCTAGTGTGTGCCGCGCTACGAACCTGGCGACCCGAGTTTGATTCTCGCTCATGACCAATACATAGTGGCGAATATACGAACCGGTCCTGGGCCTACCACTCGTTCGAACTCGGCAATAAACCAGCACCTCGGTGCTGCTTGCTAACATCACCACAGGGGAGAGACAAAGGCGGCTGGGCGTGGTTGCTTGCCACCCCCCCCCTCGCGCCTCGTGCGCCGTGCCGGCCTTCATAGGTGCTCGCTGACAGCAACCTGCTCTGAGGCTCTATCGAGGCCATACGTGAGATCTCTGCCTTTGCCTTGTCTTTGCAGAGTGGCGAAGCACCGGGATGCGAATCGGATGTCGGTGGAGAATCTGGCGATCGTCTTCGGGCCAACGTTGCTCCGCTCAGAGCTGAACAGTCCCCAGTCGGCGATGAACGACATGCCCCACCAAGCCCAGGTGCTGGAGTTCATCCTCGGGCAGTTCAGCACTTTATTCCCAGAATAATTTTTTCTAAAGGAGTCATGCCCCTGTTTGTAGAGTGGGGGGGGGGGGGGGGGGTGCGTGGTGCGTTCCTGAAAGTTGCCACGACGACGATGAATCCCACGACGGAGTAACTCGACAAAGCGATGCACGAGGTAGGCGGAGGCGCGTGCCGAGGCGACGGACGCGAGAAGCGACGGGCGACGACGATGCCAATGATGCCACCAAGCTTCGCCCATCGCCTCCCCGTCCAGCGGCACGCGCGGGAACAGAAGCGAGACACGTCAGCTGTTGTCGCGTTCGCCGATTGGCGGAGCGATCGATCCAATAGCAGTAATAATTGTCGGTAGAGCAGTCGGGATAATTTAACAACTGGAGAGCCCAGCTATTGCACAACCGCTCCCACCCGCGAATTAGAAGCTTTAGGAGATTTCTACGAACTATCGATGACCTGTACAGAGACTCCGTTGCTCAAGTGAAGCACAACTACCTTGCTGATCTGGTCAAGGAGCATAAACCACCATCACGGGAACTCCGCTCGCCCTCTCATGCGGTCCACCGCATCGCGCGGCGCTTTCAGGCGCGGCCGTCTGGAACGCTCTTCCTTCCGATACTAGGGAGCCATTGGAGCTACGCACGTTTCAATCATCGAGGTTGAAAACGAATTTCTTTTAAACTGCTTTTATGTTGGGTGACCTTCCCCTCCCCCTCCACCATCGATGAGCAAGGCTGGCTACGTAGTTTAACATTAATACGTGCACTCTTTTTGTTGCTTTTACCCCCTTTACGCCAATATACCGGCGTATTCGATCTGATAAACTCCGGCGTATGTGTATATTGTCTGTAGCGTGTGCGTGTTGTCGCACACGCGACAGACAATATACACATACGCTGGCCATGTAGGTACGAGAAGTATCGCGTGGCCGAAGCGATTAGGGGTGTAGGACCAGGCAAACTCTGCATCACGGACTTGCTCATTTGATTCGCTTAGGGGTCGTCCATAAATGACGTCACGCACCTGGGGGGTGGGGGGGTCAGACATTTGTGACGATGTGTGACGGGGGGGGGGGGGTTGAGAAATGTGACGTCACATCTACTTAATTAAACAGACTTTTAAGTAAATGTTTTCTCCTACAACATCAGAGTGCAGCGGGCACATTAAATACGCACTACAAAGACAATCTCATTGGGACCGCGAATGCAGCAGGACGAGCCCGCTGCGAGACTTCGTGAGCGCAGCAGGTGGCAGCAACGCCTCTCTGTCTGCCTATTGCCGATACTTCAACACTCCCACGATGGCTCGTGACATTGTGAACTCAGCAATCGGTGACCCCCCCCCCCCACATGCCCTAGAAAACTACTGCCCCCCCCACCGTGGCCTCCACAGCGGTTTGAAGGCGTTCGAGCAGCAGCTGCGGGGGGAGGGGGGAGGTTAGAAAAAGCGAAGCCGACGGACCGATTTTATTTTTAGGGAACCCCAATCTAGAGGAATGCGGGACGCTTGACTCGTGGTGTCGCGTTCCGTTGGTGGACGTGCAAAGTGCTCCACGCCCGCTGTGTGTGTGGGGACGTGTTTAGTGTGAAGTTTATCGCGTGGACACTTGGGTGGTGGTGGGGTTAGGGGATGGGGGGAATTGTTTTATTACACTGGTCAACACACTTTTTCTGGCATAAGGTATTCCAACGATTTTAAGGTAATTTTGGGGTTCTGATTCCGAATCTGGCATCAGTTTTTTGTCTATCACATCAGGTGTTTGAGATATCAAATATTGCATTTTCAATAAAAACTGCAGAAGAAAAACATTAAATAAATGTGGGTATCTACATAAAATGATATTATAAACACACTATCCTAAAAATACAGCACCATATTTTAACACTAAAGCAGTCACTGACTCGCAACAACTTGCAATCATAAGTGACAGAGTTAATTTCGGGTAAAATCAATGGAAATGGGGTATGCCGATAGCATAATAAGTATAACCCGTAAAAACTAAGTTTTTCACTATAAATCCTTTATATGCGTGGCGGCTAGAGTCCTCTCGTCCTCTGGCTTCAGATGGCTGCCACATATGGGTCAGATGATTGCATTGCACCATTAAGCAATTGGTAATTAAATATAATATTTTTGTCCTAAACATTGTAAAATTTTGGAAAAAAATTTTCACGAACAGTAATTGTCACGCACAACGAGTCTGTGTGGAAAATATCAGCTCGATTGGATCACGGGAAGTGTGTTAAAAAATGACCGAAAGATTTGCATGGTCCTAAGCAAGCAAGCGAACTTAATATAAAGGATTTAAAAATGAGATGTGATAGAGCATATCTGAGATCAGATTTGGAATCAGCACCCTGTGAAATTAGTCTAAAACAGCTGCAAAAGTCCAGGCCAGAATTTTTTTTTTTGTTGACCAGTGTTATTGTACAGTGAGCGTGACGCGTCTGAGCTACTTTCGAAACCGTGATTCGTTTTGTCTTCTTTGGTGCCAAGTGGGAAATCCGACGTGCGTGCGTGCGTAACTAAGAAAGTTCCACGCTTTCAAATTTTTTTTAACGCACGGGCGGTTGCGGATGCAGTCGGCGCGCGTGTCAGATAGCATCCGTGAATGTGTGAATGTGGAATGTAAATAACGGGACGTGAATGCCGCTATATCAGCAAAAAAAAATAATATATAAAAAAAACGTGACATGTTTAGTATTAGATCATCTTTAGAAATGATGGTGCTGATATGACATTTGACACAAAGCTCATGAGTCCCAAAGAAAGCCGAAACCAGTCTGCAGTTTGCTTGGACAAATGCTGCATTAATGTGTTGATCTGATGGATCAAATGTTTCTTTTCTTTGTATTTATATGTGGAAACAACAGGATGGAGTTCTGCTTATGTTTTTTTTTACCCATGATGCCCACACAAGCAGCGCAGTTTGTGTCTGCAGCCGTGACAAATTCGTCATTCTTGATCTTTGCTACAGTGCGTTTGGCTCGTGTTGTGTGAGCTGTTCTTCGCCGGGTTTTTCGCGACTGTGTCTGTCTGCTCACAGCCCATGCCGAGCCGCAATGTTTTACGGCCGTGTCGCCACGAATTGTTTGCTCGAAATTGACTGTTACTTGCAATTAATTAAAGCACCGTGCTCTCACTTGTGTGTATGTGCAGTGGTGTCTACCGGTTCTTAAAAAAAACATTTTAACTAAAACGCCTATTAATAATGAAGTCACAATTGACAGCCGATTACCAATCCACTGCTGGAAGTTGCTTAACCATACTTGACCGCGATGCTCGGTATGGGGTTGGTGAAGGGGTGACCGCAAGTCTGATTCGGATACCCAGTCTTCTCTGATATTAGCCATGGCCAGAAATCCAACCCGGTTTCACAGTGTAGTGCGCTAACCACGACGCTCTTCCATAATATATACACATATTCTTGGTTCTTTCGGGAAAGTCACGTAGAAGGGAAGTAATAAAATAATAAAAATAAAACAAAAAAAATGCTCACGACGTTTCGATTGCAACACAAGCAATCATCATCAGGTGTGAAAACGAAGTTTCCCAACCTCCCTTCCTCCAACCCAGCTTAAATATACGCTCCAAGCTTGGTGGTGTTTCATTCTTCACCTGAGGACGGCTGCTTGCGTTGTGGCCGAAACGTCGTGAGAATTATTTTATTATGTTTTATTTTTATTATTTTATTACTTCCCTTCTACGTGACTTTACCGAAAGAAACAAGAAGATGAATCCCTGCAGTCACGAAAGCTTTAAATCGAAATATTATTTTATTATTTCCCTTCTACGTGACTTTACCGAAAGAAGCAAGAATATGAATCCTTACAGTCAAAATATACACACAGTTAAAAGGAGGAACGGGATTCTTCACTGCAGTATAAATGATACGCACGTGCATAATTACACTTAAAGAGTATAACAGCATGTTTCCGCAGCAGCGTAGAGAAGCTCCCAACTTAAAATTCCATGTCAGGGTAGGTGATGAAATGTCACGCTGGGAGGGCATCGCACCTACACAAGCCGCGCGTTTAAGGCAAATGAGTTGAACCCAGACTGCGCTCACGTACAGCGCACACACAGACACCTCGTGCCCGGTGTCTCCTCTGTGCCGTTAATAAAACATGGTTGGTGTACACATGGCATGCGCAAACTTTGACTGCCCTCTATGTTTTTGCAGGTTACGTTAATGAGAGGCATCAACTGGATCTTTTGATCTTTTCTGGGGCAAAAACAAACAAACAAAAATCCAAAGCTAAACTCTGCTCGCCAGGGATGGGCAATGGCAGCCTTGCCAAGTTTGTTTTTGTGTTTTCCCCTCTGGAATATTGCTGCTTCGATGCCGGCCGTCTTCGCGAAGAAGAATGTTATTGCTTCTAACCATAATTTTCTCACCAGAGGCAACGTAGACGTGCTAATTGGGGGGGGGGGGGGGGTGCTAATGAGCGTTAATGAGAAAGGGGAGGTCAGCATATGGGCTGGGTTTATGTAGCCAGAAGAAAATCAATTACAGGCGGATGCTAAGGCTGTGCATACACAAACACCGTCATGAACGTGCACAACAAATAACCTCTTGTGCTTTAACATTAAACATTTATGCGCAGGCAGAGGTCGCATCTGCAAAAAAAAAATACTCTTTCAACAAAGAAAGAAAAAACTATCACAGATATCATCATTGATGCTGGATGCCATCAGAATATTTATACCGGAGGAATCCGATGAGCTATAAAGCTCTTTACACAGATGTCCAGTAGTTTCAGTTGACCAGTCGTGGATGTGGTTCTGGTACAATATGGTGGGATATCCTATTATACCAGAATAGGGGGAGAACTCCACGTACATGTGTTGTCTTGAGCGGTGTGTTATTAGACAACTGATCGGGACGTGCAATGCCCCAGCAAGATTTGCAGATGTACCATGACAGGTGCCTTTAAACAGAAGACAATTCTGGGAAAACATGGGACAGGTGGCAACCCCTATCGGTTACCCGTCACCTGCATGGGAGAGCGGCGGGGGGGTCACAAGTTTAAATGTAGCCAGAGAGAGAGAGAGAAAAAAAGCAATCCATTAACAACCCATCCACCCGTAGAAGCCTCTTGAGGCTCATCGCTAAGTTTGACATTCTTAGCACGGTCACGTGTGGCTATTAATCCACGTGGACGGTGAGCCATCGCGCCTTGTGATGCAGACACGTGATTGAAGTGGGCAAGGCCTGTTCCGTGGAGGCGAGGGGATATGTTGTGTCGCGCGGACGTGCTGAGCGGGGAGCCGATTGGTGCTGCTGCTGCTGCTCCGTCAAGCTGGGAGCGACCATGTTCAGCCACTGTCACCAGTGATTCGACGATCAAAAAAGTGAGATGCTCTAATTGCGCCTAATTGGCACAGTCTGGGATTTTTTTAAATATATATGTGTTTTAAAAAAAGGTGTCAATTAAGCTTTCCTGTGTTCACCGATAGCCAATTAAGGATGTTTAACACAAGTGTGTGTGTGTGTGACACAACGCTGGATATGAAGCAAGGCGCCCGACAAACCGGTGGTCTCCCCGAAGGTCACTTATCACAACAATCATTTCCTTATTCAGGATCCCACATTAAACAAATGTGTCTATTCTAGCTGGGGATTTCTGTAGGTGAATGCCTTGAGAGTCGGGCATCTGTTGAAGTCTGTGGCGGTTAAACAGAAATGGCATTTTCTCCCGTCACTCCGACTCGAATCTGGCCCGAACAGCGTATGTCATTAGAAAACACGTGTCTCCTGCCAGTTTCGCATTGGACCGAGCTGTCGAGCCATCCCACGCAAGACAATGGGCCAGAGCTCCCGGGACTAGAAGGCCGTTAATTTCCTGCTGCCGAGATTAACACCCTCATTAGCATTATAATAATTAGTGCCTTTGTGACGCTGCTATTCCCGCCAGCGACGGGAACAAGGCTTTCAGCGGCTCGTGAAATGTCAAACAAGAAGCTGACATGGTCCCACTGGCAAGATACGAGGGTTGCAAGACCGGAGCGCAGACTACATTTTTTTTTCAGCGAGCAGCAACGGGAAAGGTATTTGGAAGAAAGGCGTCTCGTACGATTAATCTCAACACCTAGACGGACACGGAGGTGCCCTCGACAAGAATAAACAACACCGACACACAAAACGCGGTTCGTCGCTATCGTAAAAAAAATGGACATTTTATTTTTAAACAGCGTCCGTTTCAATCCGTTCCCCGCGAGGTGACACCATCCACCGCCCTCCCTCCCTCCCTGCCCTCCTGTGCCTGAATTCGCAATGAACGCGCGGCTCACGGCACCTGAGTGACAGGCTGCGCTTAAGCGGCAGGAAATGACAATTGTCATGCTGATTGCCGAGCCATTCTTTGACTCATCCGGCACGGCCCGCGTGAACCAGAGGGAGAGGGGAAATTAACATTTTGGATCGGCGCATGGAACACGGGGGTCTTCTACAAATGAGTGAGTAGACACGAGAGGTGTGTGTGTGTGGGCACGGGGAGGAGTGAGGAAGGTGGAAAGCTCGGCCCGGCTCTCTGCATGGGGGCCCTCTCTGCTTCAGCTGCCAAATCCTCCGCTTGCCTCCCCAACGCTTTGATTCCAACGTCCCCATTCAGCAGAATGCTAAAGTCTTGAAAAGCTGCTGCCAAAGCAAAGCAGTTGTGACATCATCGTTGTGATTCATATATTTTTTTAAGAGAGATTTTCAAGAGAGATTTACTCACGGAGAAGATGAGTGCAAATGCCCCTTTTTGTTCTCTGAAATCACATGAGACAATATACAAGTTGTGTGTTTTTCATCACAGCACAATGCTCAAACTGAACTCTACAGTACTGTCACTCGGGGTAACCCACACGGCTGGCGAATTCACCAAAACTCAGCAATTAACTCCAAAAACTCGTTTTCAGCCAGTTTTATTACACAATAATCATAACTCCTCCGCGGTGTTAGCGTGCTTGGAATGGGTCCTGGTGCAAGACACGAAATGTAACCCCCTGGCCCTGTCCAATGTCTCCCCTCCCGCTCTCCCCTCCAGCCCGTGGCCTCTGGTGGCGTTGTTCCACCTGCGCTACTCAATAGCTGCGCTACTCAATAGCTGCACTACCGAGCCGAGCGGTCGATACGAGGCCACACGATCCGAGACCACTCAATTCTCGATAGGCTTTTTTCGGAGGAAACCTTTGAAGGAGATTGGTGCACGGTAACCAGAGTCTTCGCGTATGGCATTTGTTGGATTATATTTCACAACAAACTGATTACGACGACGACGATAAAGATGACGCGTGCATACGGCAACGATCGTTTGTTAAAATTACTAAAACAATCACTTTGCCGAGAGCATTTGATAATGTCACACGAGCAGGTGCAATTTTACAGACCCAATACATTTTTAAATTGACGGTCAGCGAGGCCGCTTTTGTATATTTGTAAATAAACACACAATCCATTATCACCGCTCGATCCAACAACAACAAAAAAAACCATTACCGACACCCCTGGCCGAACGAAGCCAGCTGTGACTTAATCTGTCTGATTTGCAATTGAAAGTGTCAGGCTGTGATTAAGAAAGGGCCCCAATTCAGACTGCATGTGGCTGGTGTGAATGGGTGCCCCGGTGCCTCGCGTGACTCCCCGCATATCCACGGCGAGTCGTGGGGGTGGTGGGGGGGGAGGGTGTTGCAGGTGGACCGGCACGGGACACCCCTCCCCCCCTTCCCGACTTAAATAACAATAATAATAGGGGGCCCTGAAGGTGATAGCGCAACAGCTCTGATGAGAATAAGCAGGTCAAACGAGTACATTCTCATTAAAAGACACGCGGGTCCGCTGTCGACTCATCAACGGTGAACCAACGCCTTGGTGGGGGCTTTGGCAGAATGTCTGAATATTTCTCTCGCGGGTTTAAATGAAGCATTTAAAGACAGTACTGTGACTCCTATTTAGGCAAAAAAATATATATAAGCACACGCACGAGCGCAGGTCTTTACTTCAAATGGAATTTTTCTTCAATGTGCACAAAACTTTCAACGCGCAGTATTTACGGAGCAGCGACAGCCAAACGTGTGCAACACAACCGCAGCGAAACCGCGGTGCCCAATTATCACCGTCGGGACTCACGAAAAAAACCGCAGCAAAAGCTGCCACTTGTGCCTCGAAAATTGTAGCCCTCCGGAGAATAATCTTCTGCGAGGGTGGCTTAGCAGCGAGGGTTCGCCGCCCTTCACCCGATCAGCCCGCACAGCCAGTTCCGTCACGAGAAGCTGTAACCCATCTGCACCTACGATGAGCATGGTGCGAAAGAAGTCCCAACGCACGTGCATCGCACAACGACGATCACCGCTTCGCGCGCTTTCAGGCGCGCTTTCTGCGGCCGTATGGAACGCTCTTCTTTTCGATATTAGGAAGCCACTGTGAGCTATTCACGTTTACATTTAAATTGAAAACGCATTTCTTTAGAACTGCTTGTCGTTGTGTTCCGTTTGTTGTCCTTCCCCCCGCACGTCCGATTAGCGCGGTTGGTTACGTGCGGTGCGAAAGAGGTTCAATGTAACTGCGCGTACGTACGAAAGAGGACAACGCATGGCGGTGACGACCACCCGTGCACAATACGACAATGCTGCTCACCAGCTCCTTGCAACGTGATTCGGATTAATGGAGCATTGAAATATGCAACGGGCGTCTCAAGGCGCAGTGCTTGCCGAGAGCCTCTCTGCAGGGCCCAAAATCCATGACAACTGATTCTCAATTACCGGATTGTTCTGCACTTTAAGTGGCCTGCATATTGCACATCAGTTGTGATAATGAAATAATTGGCAATACGCCTTTTGTTATC